TCTATTTGACATTGAATTTGAAGACGTTCAGTAACATTAACGTGGTCCTTCACAGTCTCTGTCGATATGATGTTATTCTCGAGGAAAACAAAGAGGTCACCTTCAGGCCAATTCCATGTGAAGACTCCAACTTCTGAGACCACCTTGTAAATAAATATCAAACTAAGCTCGTCCTGGAAGAGATTCGGCCGACTCATCAGTCTCTCCAGGATTGTAAGGAAAACAAAAGGGCCGACATAGATAGTACTCACCTGGCTGTGATGTGATCATTTGTGATCTTAAACACATTTTTGATATTATGTGTTTTTAAGAGATAATGTATGTTTTTTTTACATTTTGCCCCAATAGGGAATTATTTGCATCCCACTGTGAGAATGATTTTTTTTTTTATGTATTTGAAATTGAAGGAATCTCATAATGATGACAGTTTTATATATACTGTCTTTGGATGACCAGCTATGTCAATATCGGACTTTGTGAAACAAAATCTAGGTTGGTTTTAACAATAGTTTTTATTTGTTCTCGTCTGCTATTGGTTTCAAGTGTGTTGCTTGATCACATAAGTTATGACATTTATTTTTAGAAAGACAATGAGACAGACCAATATTAGTACTTTATACGATCACACATTTCTAAGTAACTAAGTATTAACAATAATTGTCATCGTCGTTACTTTCTTACCACAAAAAAAAGTACTGGGCTACTTTTCCAGATTATGTATTTTTTTAATCAAAAAATGAATGACTTCACTAGTAAGTATATATTTATTTGTGTTTTTTAATCACTTTTAATAAATTGTCAAGTTAACATTGGGCCACATGTTTATTGAATTTACAAATACACAACACTATTCGATTACTTCAGTCAAAAGTTATTTATTTTTTAATTACATGCACCTTATATACAATAGAAGCTTTGCGTTTGTGTCTCCTTCACATTTTATAAGATATATTTAATGTACTACTGGCACTCATGTTATGTTCCCCTCTCTGTTTCTCTGTTTTCCACACGGTTGTAACATAAACAATATTGCAACCAATTGAACACTGATTATCTCCAACACTTTCAGACCAATAGTCAACAGTCATAGGAGACACGTTTTCTTACCTCAACACACTCTAGTCATTAAAGAGTCAAATAAATCAAACTGAATGTATCCCAGGGCCGTGCACTGCTCATTTCCAGAGATATAATAACAGATACTCCTCTCACCTCAAGTCTGCTCTCACTGTGAACTTTAGGCAATTACTCAATAAAAACATGAAGTCCTTCAGGCCAGTTCAACAAAAAAGTTGAATAAAATGACCACCGAAGAGAAGTAATACAAAAAGAATAATAATATTTTTTCAACAAAAAGGAGTTTTTCAAACTTAGAAAAATATCATTTATCAGATTTGTGTACAACGGGACCTTTAGAACTCGTCTTTGATGAAGGTGAAGTTCTCCGCTCATTTAGACATGTGCTTCTTCATACGTTGCATCTCCATCTGAAACAAGACAAAACAAAATCAATCCATGAGTGCAGTTGGAAGAAAATATAATATTGTCACCTTAAAGTTTTTCTGCATTTTCTGCACATTGATGCAGCTTCATTGTATGTATTGTTGTAATGCTGCACCTGTATAGTCAAGCGAATCCTCTTCTCCTCATCGAGCTCGCTCATTAGCAGTTTAATTTCTTTGCTGGAACACAAGATATTGTCCGATTAGTGCAGCAAAAACAAACACAGACAGTAGGCCTAATGCAGGGATGCAAGTGGTGGTCTCAACCCACCCAGAAGAAACTGGGAAGGTGAATAAAAGTTCTCATTATGTTTTAAAAAGCTTTACTTGTGCTGTCTCTTCATCAGTTGAAACTGGTCCCTCAGCTCTCTCAGCTCGCTCTGCACTTGCTCCAGGCTCGCTGGACTTCTGCTCTGCTGGAGGTCGGAGCTGCGGCCCGTCGGATAGAGTACAGCAGAGAGAGCCTTTGGTAACAGGGAGGTGAAGGACTGGGTAGACACACTTTGGGGTGCTGCTGCCTGTGGAAAATAACCCATCATCACTGGCTTACAACACGAAACAAATCTGAAATATACATTTGAAGTGCCTAGCCTTTTCTTTCACACTTACAGGCAGGGAAGGCCCACTTTGGCTCATTTCCTGAGAGTATTCTTGAAGTGATGAAGAATCAATTTCTTGGCTCTGCTTTTGTTTTTCTTCCTCCTCCATCATGAGTGCTACCTGTAAGTTTAGTTTAGTTTGAGATATCTGATAAATAAAGGACATTTTAAGAGTAGTTCACACAATGTCAGTATGCAAAAGAAGTAAAATCCAAGTACATTTCTAAGAAATTATTACATTTTAATTTAGTTTTGAGTAAATAGTTAAAGGGGTCCCTATTCTGCTCTTTTTCAGGTTCACATGTGTATTGTGTGTCTCTTCTGTGAGATGTTTACATGCTCAAATGTTCAAAAAGCTCTTTATTTTTCTCATACTGCCTGTGCTGCAGCACCTCTTTTCACCCTCTGTCTGAAACCAGAGCCCAGTCTGCTCTGATTGGTTAGCTGGCCGGCTCTGTTGTGATTGGTCAACCGCTCAGAGATGTCCAGCCCCTTAGCCTACTTAGTGTTAGAGCGCTAGCCAATAGCAGCGCGACTGTTACATATTGATGTCACTATGTTACAGAAGTAAACAAAGTGTATGAGAGAGAAACTCCCTCTGGAGGGAACTTGGGGATTTTAGCCTTTGTAGACCATTTACATGCACAACAACCTATATCATACACTACAAGAAAAAGAAAAGCATAATAGGGCCTCTTTAAGATATCTTTCACTGCGGTGCATGACTGAGTGTGTGAGGCAGCTCAGAAAAGTTAAATTTATCCCAAGGACAGATGGGACACAGACACAGCAGACCAAACACTTTCTTACAGTGAGCCAAGTTATGATAACTGTATAATACAACTATTCTGGATAAATATAATTAAATGGTATACTTTCCAGAGTCTGAAGCTCTGACTGTAAGCTAAGCTCATATCTGCAGCTACCTGCTCATTCAGCCTCTCTGCCATCGACACCACTGAGTCAAACTCTTCCGTGACTTTGAGAGAAACAGAAAAGAAATGTTACAAAGAGTGGTATATGGAGAATGTATTTTCAATCTGTGTCATTCAAAGCCTGCATTAACATGGAGCAGTTAAGCATGGTAGTGTTTCAAAGTATGTCGCAACAGATGGTTGTAACAATAAGAGTTGCAAGTCTTACCAGGAATGAGGGCAGAGCTATAGTTGCCCATCGTGAGAGAGAGGAATACAAGTGCAAGAGTCTTTAAGTCTACATCTACAAATGACAGATTGGAGCAAGTCAGTAGAGAAAACATTCACAGAAACTCAATGCATTCTCATATCATGCTAAGAAATTGAAATTCATTAGAACAAAAAAGTAATTCCATTTGTTAAAATATAATCAATTCATAAAAGAAACTTCAGTTGAATCATTAATCTGAGTTCTAAGTAAGGGACACTAAACATGGGTTCACTGGTGGCAGCTGTCTCGCTCTCTCATGCCACAGCAGGGAACAAATGTGTAGCACATGCTGGAACCAACGCACAGAGAGGAGCAGTGACAGATTATACTGTACATGTATTAGTTAACAAAGTAAACAAATTACCAGATTATTGTCATAGCCAAGGATCTGGGGCACACACTCACCTTGTTTGGCCGGCAACAGTGGTGAGATACAGCAGCATCTGTGGTAACGCGACACCGTCCATTGTAACCCAGTGCTGTGAGCAGTCTGTTGTGATGAGGAGGGCTACTGTCAGACGGCTAAGTTTAGCTGCACTCCGCTCACAAATATCACTGGGGCAGAGCGAAGGGCGAGGGGTGTGTTGAAAAGGGACCAACTGGTGCGCAGTTATACAATATGTAATGTTTACACTGGGAAGGAGAATTGTTTTTATTCATTGCGAGCCTCAGGAAGTGTTTTAATTTCCAAGAAATGCTCACAGACACCACTGATTTACACAACTACTGTTTGCTTATCACGAGGAGCCTTGAGCAGTGAATAGTTGTAAGCCATCTGAGTCTCTGGAGTTTTAGAAAAAAAGGGCAGCTAATGATATAAACAATTGAATTGCATCATGGGATATTTTAGACCCATTATTTTGGAGCTTGGCCGATAAAGAGGATTGAAGTTGGCTTATTTCAGTCACCTAACCATCCTGAAAACACTTTACACTTAATTATACTTTATATCAATAACCATTCAAACCGTGTAGACAGACTCTCTAAATAATGAGATTTATATACTCTCCTATCGACGATTTCACTGTTAAAACAGAGGTTAAGAAACCTATCTTATAGATAAGATTGCAATTCTTAAAAATATCATTATTGTTGACAGGAAGTCTCTTAGTCCGAATCTACAATGAACTACTGCCTCGTGGTTGTATTCCCCGAACCAGTCAAGTAAATCGATGTCATCACTTTTGGTTTGAATCCTTATAGATATTTGTTTTGAAGTTGTCATAATTTGCAAGGTAATTACTAAATGAACATGATATGCGAGGTCACAGTGACCTTGACCTTTCATCACCAAAATGTAATCAGTTGATCCTTGACATTTGTGCAACATTTTCTGAAATTCAGGCTAGCAAGTGTGCAGGTGTGCGTCATATGAGAGGCCCCGCCTTACATTTTCCGTCACAGATTTGGGGAAATTGATCCGTGCGCAAAGCATTGTGGGGATTTTAAGACCGGAGTCTACTCATGTGCAGCCTCGATATTTCTCCAAACGGAGTACGCAGGGCTCGGTAGATTTCCAAGTATGCTGGAGATTGGAACAGTACTTCGGCGGCACTCGATGACGTAGTATGCTTGAAATAGTGGCTCTGGAGCAGCTTTACTCGCGATTGAGAAACACCCACTGCCTCTGAACCATAGACTGTATATATAAAGCTCTGAACACAGCGGTCACCGGCATGGAGGCATTAAAAAAATAAATAAACCTTAAACAGAGATTGGTAAATTGGACTTTATTTCAAATCTCAAACATGTGATTATACAAGCTTTACATGTAGTAGCTGAATGCCCTTTGACAGGCTGCTGTTTTCTAATCCAAACACCCATGATTAATCAAACGGGACATTTCATGTGATACATCTTTACAAACAGTAGGTGACATTTTAAAGTCAATATTTAATGGACTTCACAAACCTGAAATCGAATTCTGCTTCTGGTAAACAAAACAAAAAACGATTCTAATAAAAAGGATGACTGCCACGATCACAAGCAGCAACTCCCAAATAATTATACACGACTAGAAAAAGCAGGACTGTTTAATATATTGGCATATGTTACAAATACCCTAAAACTAAAAGTACCGTAAAGATGCCACTGAAACCCTTATACCAGTGAACATCCGGAAGTAACATCTCTTCCACAATATACAGGCAGGTTGGGATCGTAGTCGGGAAGGTTTGTGCTGCCCAACCAGCGGAGAAGGTCTCCAGATGTTTCTGCTCTCATGTCTGAAGACTGTGGGACCTGTGCTGGGATCAAGAGAAAAAGAAAGTTAATATCATATTTATTGTTCTTGATTAGGGCTGGGCAACATATCAATAATGTGATAGGAGACTAAATATTGTCTTAGATTTTGAATATCCTTAGTGCCTTTTTTGGAATTAAAGGTTGCATTACGGTAAAGTGATGTTGATTTAACCAGACTTGTAGCTGTTCCGATATATTCCTGCACTTTAACTGTATCTGCATATTGAAGCATGAATGCTTGTTGTTTGTATGTTGTCTCCTCCTGAATGTTGTACGTCTCTTATTGGTTTTTTGTATTTTTGATGGCACCTTAAAAAAAGGAGTAGCTCTACTCATCTCATTGTACCTGTATAAGGACAATAAAGGATTCTATTCTTTGCCTTGACCAAATAAGGTCCTTCCTTCCTGCAGCAGTCAGACTTAATTGGCCACTGGTAGACCACCACACAAATCGGACTAAGGCTGCAGCCACACGAGAACGAGAACGGTCGTATCCGCTACAGTTCTCTATCATATAGACGGTTCGGCCACACGGGGCCGACAGGGAAACGCAGATAACGATAACGGGTCCCAAGGTGGGTAGATCTGGGGATGCAACGCTCTGGGGGGCCAAACGGCTCCGTGATTACGCCCTATACGATCATTTCCTGATAACCGGCGGGAAAAAAATCTAACGCAAACTCTGCCGCACGGTCCCCTCGTCGCTTGGAAGAGGCGGAGAGGTGGGTGTTTTTCATCTGCTGGTGGACTACCGGAGCGATTTACAGCAGGAGCACACGCTTGCCTCGGGGAGGGAGAAAAAGAGCCAGAGCGTCCACCGCAGAGAATAAACAGAAGGGCAACCATGCGCGGGAAGTCTTCTTCGCTGCTTTTGGTGTATTTTGTGGCAGAAGTACAGCGCCACTTACAGGCCCGGCATATGTACTACAGCGTCTCCAGCGCTTTTGAGCGGTCTCGTGTGAACGGACACGTTTCTGGTGCCTATTGCGTGTGGACGGAAGACTTTTTTGATATCGAATTCGATTCGTTTGCGTTACCGTTCTCATGTGGCTCCAGTCTAAAACACCAGTTGTGCAAGAACACTTCTGTAAATGTAAATAAAAAAAGTGAAATACAAATGCTCATTTGCAATGGTCACTTATGTGCCATTAACGATTCCTTACTTCACAATTTATATACAATCTGTTGCATTTTCCATCTCCTACATTACTTCACACGATAATAATAATATATATATTATTTTCTTAACACCGCTTCTTTATTTTTACCATGGTGTAATTATTAGTTTTTTGCTTGTTTATATTTTTCTAAGTAACATGTGCTTGCCTTCTAGTCTACTCTTTTTCCTTTAATCTGCTACTTGATATTGTATGGCTGTAATTTTCCTGCTGCGAGACAAAAAAAAGGGGGTTTCTGATTGTGATTATAAAGGATAGCCTTAAATCGATAAATTCACATTTCTGATTAATATTTATCCAAATTCTTAATGTGTAAATACTTTGAGAAAACCTCAATCAATCAGTGTTCAGGCTTACAATAGCGTCTCAATATAGATGGAGGTATTTGATCCAAAACATTGTGAATTTCTTCATATGGACCTGCCTTGTTCCATCTAGACCATGTTTATTCATGATAAATCAAGAATTCTTTACAGCAATAACATTCCAAACACAGACATACAGCTGGCACATACAAAGCACTGAAAACAATCAAATGTTAGAATGAAGATTGACAGGTTTACACTAGATGGTCAATTGAAACAGCCCCGTCATAGCCACACACAAAATAAAAACTCACCACAGGTTGTCACCAGCGCTGGTTGGGCCCCCGGTTGTACGGTGCTCGCTGACGCATCACTCTCATGGTGCGGTATTTGGACATGATGTTGTAACTTTTTCTGAACACTGGCCTCTGATTGGGGAAGGGACGTGTCACTAAGCTCTCCTTAAAAAACACAAGAAATTCAAACATCAGTTATAAGAGAAAATAAAGGAATCAATGATGGCATTACATTTTTTCTAGAAGAATCTAGCGATGACTGAAGGCGGTATGCGTACCATGAGCGGTCTTCTAAAATGTCCAGACATTTCAGGGCCCCCCCTCCCTCGACCACCAGTGAACCTTGGTCTCTATGAAACAGATTTAAAAGGCCAAGTTAATACAGTATGTTTATAACCACATGTTAATCACATCATTTTCCAGTAGTCAAACAAACTTAACTTCATATATCTGCCAAAACACGGCAGCTGACAAACTTCAGTGGATATTCACAATAAATAACCGATTGCTCAGCTTCAAATCATTGATGCTAATACACGTCCTCCAAAATATAGTTTTCAATAACCGAGTGTAGATTTTCCTGCTACCACTAGGCTGAATAAAAAATGTTTTAAGTACATGATATAGCTTCAAACCTCTGACAGCTCAGTCCATTTCATTTAGTCATATTTGAGCTTTCAAAACACTGAAACATATCAAAGTTGTGACTCAGCACTCACTGTAATGTATATATTTGAGTGACCAAATGTACTGCTATTTACTACAAATGTTTAGCCCACCTGCATAGGTCCAGGTCCGGGTCCTTGTCTTGGTCCGGGTCCTTGTCTTGGTCCGGGTCCTGGCCTTTGTCCGGGTCCTTGTCTTGGTCCGGGTCCTGGTCTCCTGAAGGGCCTCCCAGATCTGTGGCTGTCGTGCATCATATGAAATGGCCTGCAGAGTACAAGGTAACGTCAGACACAGGATCTCGTCTGCAAAGCTTTCATATTTCGACAATTCGAAACCACTGCAGGCCCTTTTGAATTAGGACCTTGTTTGAAGACTGAGAAATGTTATGCAATGTACCTGAACGGTCTCTTATCCACAAAGCCTCGTTTTCGGTCTTCAGGCGATGATCTGGAATCATTCGACTTTGAGGCTCGGCTGTTCGGTGAGGCGTCTTGATCTGGACTGCGCTCTACAAAAAAAAAAAAAAAAGATTAAACTGAGATAATGGGAGCTTAAGCTGATTGTTTGATTAAGAGTTAGATATAAGATAGGGTCAACATTCTCTGCCATACTTACCAGAAAAAGTCAAATTGAACATGCTAAACTTGCACTTTTAAAGTTATACAAAAATAGAAAATCCCGCTGTTACTTAAATTAGTTTTAAACTGGTGTTTACTTTTTTTTTTTAACAACCACACAATAGTGCTCGACACAACCTTGATTTGGTGTTATACAATTACTGTTGATCGGTAGCAATATATTGGTCCTTTTGTAAAAAAATACATTTTAAATAAATATTTTAAAAACTGTATTTCGTTGTTTTTGTTTGATAATCTCACAAAATACAAATATTGGAATTTACATTAATCCGTTTTGAAATTAAATTTGATATTAGAACATTTTGTATAATCGTTAACGTCCCCTGTATTGTCCCTGCAATACACAAGGAAATGACCAATTACCTTTCTTTGGGCTGCGATCTTTCGTTGGCGAGCCGTCCTTAGAGGAGGAGTCCCAGTGGGACAGAACAACAAGGTCACGTTTCTCTATGGGAGAAGATCTGTGGACAGATCGGTGGAGACTGCGTTAATCTCTCATGTGAGGCTTTTGGCAGAGTAAGAACATATGAAATGTGGCCTGGTAATATTAGCATCACTTCATTCAAGTTAACAGACAGGTTTCAAGTTAATAAGTTAAATCACCCTGTCCAATCTCAGCAGTAATGCATTTTAAACCAGTAATGGACAGCACTGTTTTGCAGGCAGAACATTGATCATAAAGCCACGCATCACATGGGTACTTACAAAAAACATGGAATGTCCATGCTCCTTTATTTTTGAACCCTGAATCAATCTGAGCACTCTTCGTTAACTCGGTGATTGTTAGAGCGGGCAAATCTTGGGAGACAACTTTTAGATATGGTCTACGTCACAAAATCATCCATCTCTCAGAAGCACGGCAGGACAATAGCTGGTTTAGTCGGACTGAACTTCAGACTGTTTTGTCATCGGGTATTTTCTTGTTCCTTTAGTTGCCTTGAACTTTTTGTCTCGAAGACAATCCGTTTTTCCGAGTGACTGACTGACTACATCCAGAGCGATAATTGTGTCTGCTTAGCAGCTTATCTTCTTCTCCAAAGCTGTGCCGTGACTGTAAGAGATGATCCAGCGTTCGTCTGCCGGGAACAAGTCCAGGTTTCATAGCAAACTGGCAAAATGTCTTGCAGTGCCGACAAGTGAGACTTCATTTCCTAATACATCTTCAACTGTTCATAACAATTAGGGCGTCGGACATGACTTCAAATAAGCCAACATTAAATAAAAATCTGTTTGGTTTTGCCGTAAAATACAGTAGGGATGATTGCATTCTTCATGATTGCATTCTTCATGTAATAATTTGAGTAGGGACATGGTGTCGAGAATTGATATTGAACATCTTTTGTATATCATACTGACAATGTCTTCAAATGTTGGTTCGGATTATTGACTTTCTGTGCAGAAGCCTTTGGCTGCATTTGGCTTGTAAATCAGCTACTTGATATTATGATTTCACCTCTGATTATTAGTGAGGTCGCCTGTCAGACTAGTGCAGGAGCTGACCACAGAACATGCTGACCTGTGGGTCCAGGTGCATTCAAAATTAAGATTATATCAAGCAGCTACCAAACTGGTCTTGCTTCTATCCTCAGTAAGGATCAAGCTGGCAACTCTTCATCACGTTTCATCAAAAGCAAATCGTAGGTCTGAATTTATTTTCCATTTCTCCTGTCGTTCGTAGAGCTTGATGTAGAGTCTTCTTTTGTCTTCTTCTGGCCTTTGATAATGCTATATAAGGCCTGTTTCACTGCAGGGCGTTGTAAATATGATATTAATAGAGGTGACAAAATAGTTGCTTTATGGTCGCTGGTTTGACTTAAACACTCCTTAGGCATCAAGTTATTTCTTCAGCCATGACGTGGCTAATGCTTGGTGAATATCCAATGTGTCCTTCTCATGACTGCAGAGAAGCAAAGAATCCGGTACTTCCTATGACATTGTCATTTTGTTTTTCTTCGTTCTGCTGAAAGGGAGCGAGGACCATCGTCAGGCGGTGCAGAATCGTGTATGACCTGAATTAGCCAATCCTTTGGGAATTAAATCGACTTTGCACACGTAGGTAGGAATCCTAAATATGGTAATTGCCGTGCTTCATCAATAAAAAGAAGATCAATTGTTTAGTCTTCACTTCATTCTGGGTAATTTGATGTGCATAAAAATAGTTTCAGGCACATCAATACGAGTTATGTTATCAGTAAAAAGTATTCACTTTTACGTGTAACTTTAACGGTGGCTAGTTGTGCCCTTCAACAGAAATTCCTCTTCTTAGATTTCTGGATTTTGCCGTCACTGGTATGTAATCAGCTATCCATCTTCAAATTCTTCCCTCTGATTATATTCGAAGTCAAAACAAGTGTAACAACTTGGAGCAGCTTGTTTGACGAAATCCCATGATCAAAAATGCCATTTGACTTGTTGCTTGGCTTTCTTCTGTTTAAGTTATTGCGTAAACAGCCACCATTCGACATCAAACTCATCCGATGCATCTCTTTTCCCGCGGTCCACGACTGGCCGACATATTGCCAAATATTCTGAAGGGCAGCACGGCAATTTCAGTTTAGTTGATGTTAAGTGCAGTCCTTTTCATATCCTTATTTTCCATACACTGAAATACTGTTACTGTTGTAGCTTCAGCGTCAATGCGTTTGTTGTGTTACGAGGAGCAGGGGTCTCCACAACATGCTGAAGAGCTATTCTTTCGAGCGTAATGCTGACAGACTGAGGAATCCTTCAACAGCTCAGATCAACCAATCTTTCCCACACTCCTCATCAAGGCCAATAAACATTTGCCAGGGGTTAAACAGGTTGGCTTTATCGATACAGTGCGTAACTTAGCACTTTCTCTTCAGCCCACTTCATTGGAAGATATTGAAACATAGGCAGCACGCAGACAGGGAGGCATTTGAAAACCGTTGCTGTTTTTTCATCAACTGAATCAGTGTTGCACATTTAGCTCATCTCCTTTTTCCACAGGCACCCCCTTCACATAGAGACATTCTTTCTTGACCTCTTAATCATCATCAAGCCCCTGCGAACAGTGCTAGAAGAAAAATACCGTACCTGTGTGTGTTCAAGGGCCGGCGTGACTCCACCTGTTCTTTTTCTGTATCAGAGTCTCTTGAAGACTTGCTGGTATCGCTTTCTTCTCTGGGGGGTGACTGTACTGGTTTCCCCCTCCTTTGTTCCAGTGTTTCATTTGACTGGAAACGCTTTTTTCTGATAGCAAGAACAGAGCTGAAGTTTTCCTGTGAGGAAGAATCGCCTAGGCGAGGCCTTGGTTTCACAGATGGGGGGATTCTGAGCCTCATGAGAGACTCTGCTTTGACTTGTCTGCTCTTAACCAGGAAACTTCTATCCCTAAGTGACAGAGGTCTACCACCAAAGGGCCTGGGAATACTCAGCAGCTGAGGCCTCTCTCTCCTTGGGTGTTTGGGATGGCCATGCTCCAGTGCAGGGTCTTCGGAGGGCATGCTGATGTCTTCTATCCCCCTCTTGCGGGGTCCTGCCACTTGCCTCTCCTGAGGGTTCCTGTGGTAGGAGGATGACGGTGATGGACCTCCTTTCCATGAAGGGGATCTGAAAGGGGGCGGATGAGGGGCCTCCTGTGCCCGCTCTCTACTGTGGGATCTGCTGCCCTGCCTCTCCACTGGACCGCGCTGTCGCCTGGAGTCTTGCTCTGATGACCACCTGCACATCCATCAAACAATAGAGAAATCGTTACAATGATAGATCCATTTCCATATTAAGTGGGAGGTGTATCTTTTAACTTTTATCTTAAAGCAGCCCCCTCGCTATGCCATGATAGAATGAAACAGGTAGGAGAAGTGTATTTTCAAAGAGCAATTACAGATGTAACACTCTTCTCAATGGCAGGTGAAACCCAATTAACACCAGACCCCAATTAACAGACCCCTGTAATAATTATGAGTTGGGGCAGAGTAGAGGTAATCACTATGACGCCCAGAGACTGGGAGGACTGGGCCATCTTCAGGCCTCCTTTTTAATATTTTTTACCCAGCTGGGGTTGCTGCTTCGCTCCTGTACCTCTCTGGACATGGGCCTCTCCCATGCATCTCTCTGGGGTTCCTCTGTGACCCAGAGGGCCCGTGCTCTCCATTGTGTGGATGAGAAAAAGCTCCTGGCTCGTTCCAGCGCTTCATGCCAGGACCCGAGTGCTCATGGGGCCTTTCTCTGGGATTGAAATTCCCACGAGGGTCTCGATTCCGCTGCTCTTGATGCTGAAAACCTGCCTGCCTTCTGTGGCCCCTGAATGACCCCTGGTGGGCAAACGCAGAGCCAGGCCTCCTGTCAGCTGGGTGGTTGCGAAAATGTCTCGGGGAGGGTGACCTGTGACCTGAGGGGTGGCCATGAAAAGGTGGACCCCTTTGACTCGGGGATCCCTGAGAAGGATTGCGAGAGGATGTCTGATGCTGGGCTTGGGGGGAGCGGTTTGGCCTTGATGGAGAAGGCCTTCTCTGGCCATGTTGTTGATCCATTTTGGGAGGGTATGATTGAAACGAATCCTGATTTTGGGACCTCCAGTTGTTGAAACGTGGCTCCCTTTGCTCTCCCATCAGGGGGACTCTTCTGACAACGGGGGGTCGTCCTCTACCTCTGGAATCTTTCCAGTGAAAAGGGGCCTTAGCCTGGTAGGGCTGGACATCTCTCCGACTTTTGGAGTTAGGGTTGTAATTCCCTTCACTGGTTCCAATGCCATGACCATCTCCGTATGGTCTGCTAGGATACAAGAATAACAGAAATGTGTAAAGTTAGACAAATAATACTAGGGTCAGTATCTTGCTTAAATCTCTAAAAGTAAAATAATAAAATATTTAACAGTCACTGACTTAACGGTCAAGTATCTTCATGCACCTTGACATAATCAAAAAAGCATTACCTTGGCTTCAGGCGTGGTGGTCCAAAATGTGGTCGAACCATTTTTGGAAGTGAGCAAATAATCTATAGACAAGAAGGAAAGAATATTGAGTTTTGACAGCCTAAAAAATATATAATGCAACAATCTTTTACCAGAATACAAAGCTGAAACAAGAACCTTGTAGTATCAAGCTGAGCCAGCTGAACATATGTTAGATAATTTAATAAATGTTTTCTTTGTCCTCCCCTCTTTACCTTTCTCATGTTATAAACGGGGTATTCATCTTACAAAAGTTGCATCAAAATCTCAAACTATGATGTAAAGTAAATGTGACCTGAATCAGAGGGTATGTAAAAAGAAAAAAGTGCCCGTATCTAATATCATATTTACACTAGGCAAGGCAAGTTTATTTATATAGCACCTTTCAACACAAGGCAATTCAAGGTGCTTTACAAAAATGAAAGACATTCAAACAAAGGCATTTAAAAACAGTCAATAAAAAGCAAAGATAAAAAATAAACATTAAAAAAAAAAAAAATAGATGAATAAAAAGTTACAGTGCAGTTTAAGATATGAATAGTTCACACAGAAGTTCCACTTTACTGATGCCCTCCTTTAAGGTTTCTCCGAACATGAGCTGTGTACGTGTGTATGGCACATACGTCCCGAGCAGCATACACAGAGAAAACCAGCCAGGACAAAGTCCCCAGACACTGATTCCCTGGGGTTACTAGCCCCAAATGTTCATTAACCAAAAACGAGTCTAGTCTACCATTTGAAAATTCTAGTGATTGTCAATAGGGGTGCATACCGGTTCCCGGTATTACCGAAATACCGGTTACTGGTGGCTACGGTATACCGTACCGAAATCAGATCCGGTTTTCGATACTCAGGCGTAATATCCTTAAACTTACGCCCAAACCGCCAGCCAATCAGATCGCACGTCTTGCAACGGCTTCGGTGATTGGCTTGATTGCCAAGCAACGCCCTTCACCTTCCTCCCGAACGTCTGAGCCTTTCGGTTAGCTTTCGTTTTTTCATTAGCTCGATGTCGGCACGAAAATCTAAAGTGTGGCTGCATATGACTGCCAGTCTGAATGGTGGGGTCTGTAACCAGTGCAAGAAGCTTATTTCTGGGAAAGGCGGCAACACATCCAACCTCTCAAAACATTTGCTACTGTCACATAAAATCAGAGTACAGGAATGTACAAGCCCGTGTTGTCAAACGTGTTTTTCATTGTTTGTTCAGTACTAAAAGGTTGAAGTCCCACAATTAATTTTAATATTCATTTGACATGTTAACTATGTCATAAAGCGCTTCATGGGAGTAATTGCGGGATGATTCAATTGTTCCCTTATGCAACATGAAAATATCACGATATGCATCGGTCGAGTATCGGTATCGTTCAGTGGCATCGGTATCGTAAAAAAGTCAACGATATGCATCCCTAATTGTCAATATTTGAATGATGTTGAATAATACGTTACACTAAAATGTACTATGCATAAAGTGTCATTTTGTCAGGCTACATATTAAATACAATAATATTTAGATTTAAGCAGAATAATAGTATTCAAACTGCATTTACATTGCACTTAATAATATAAACAAAGGTTCAAAGGGCTTTCTAACGGTTTAACATTGCGAGATTCAACCTACAGAAATATGTAAACCATTAAATCAGAGATAAAAGGCCAGTCACTCAACCTAATCAATACGATCACTGATAAATCACACTGTACTCCAGCTGTCTTCTTTCAACGAGACACGGTTTAATGCTTTTTTTGTAATATATATAAATTCACATCAACTAAATTGTTCTAAATCCAAAAGCTACCCATCTATGATGCTGAAATGTGCCAATATGCACGATGAGTACTTTTACTTTCTAATATGTTGTTCTACTTTTACTTGAGTAACATTTGCAATGCAGGACTTTTACCTGTAACAGAGTATTCCTGCACTCTGGTATTTATACTTGTACTCAAGTACAAGATCCGAGTACTTCTTTCAACTCTGATTATCAGACGAAAGATCAAATTGGAAACTGTACGACCTCGTTTAAAACGATTGTACCGTTAAAAGTACATATTCCACACAATGACAGATAGAAACTGATAAAACGAAAGACTGCTTATTGAAAACAGCTTCAGGTTTAGGGTGACGATGTTTATATGGTCGCCGTGTTTCAGTTTCAACCCCCTTATGACCTGGTGAGTGCTATGGGCAGGTCGAATTACCATTTTTGGTATTTGTGGCTGGTCGTAAAAAAAAAAATGGCCCAGTCAATTCGTTATTTTTCTGGATATTAAAAACCCCTTCACTGTAGCAGTATGCTAAGGGGTATCGTTAGTAAGTAACGTTACCCAATTGTTTAAGAACGCTCTTAAGAAACAAAAAGATCAGTTGGTCGAAATAACGCGTTGCTAAGCCTGCTGCTAAGGCTAGTTAGCTTAGCCTGGGTGTTTTGCTAGTCCGTCAGCCGAAGCTCTCGGAAAAGTGCCATTCACATTGTTAGTTATTTCAACATGTTAGGGCTAGGCTAGACACAATTATTCACCATACGTTACCTTTAACTGCCAATACGTGTAATTCTGAAGTTTAGCAAGACACTCACCAAAGAGAGACCGTGGATTAGATGAACGATCCGTGCGTCTGCGACACAGTCTCTTCTTCGTCGCTTCGCCCTTCACTCAATGTGTGTGCGCGTCAAACTGAAGCGCCACCTTCTGACTCGGAGTGGGTACTGCATATTTACAAAGACTGACAGTCCAGTGTATGGGCCTTTACCTCTTATTTGATCTCTTCACTTTTTTATAATAATACTACAAAAAAGAGAAGTTACAACCATAATGAATTTTATTTCCACAACAAACACTTTCTGTTATCCTGGGCATTGATTATAAACACACACACACATGTTTTATTTGGAAATATAATTATATAACACATCATAGTAAGTTAAAAATCCTCTTTATTTAGTCAGGTTTTCAACAGCAAAGGTTTCTTTTACTCATGTTACTGCTCAAAACATTCCACATTTATTTGTAGGTGTTCACTCTGAAATCACAATGCTTTTCAAGTTCTTGCTAATGTCAGTTTTACAATATCTGTCTTTGTGATTTATTAGGGCCTGAGCTCGACAGAGTCGGAGTGAAGACCTATTGTTTTCCATTGTTATTTTTGTACCAGAACTACACATCGATAACTGCAAATAATAAAGCTGGTTACCGACCTCCGGTTTCCGGGTGACTTCGACTTCCTGTTGGCGGATTATTCTCATCTCTACTTTGAGTCACAGTACGGGAGACCGAGCCAGTCTTACCTGAAGAAATGAAAGCCATGGAAGCTTACATCAATGACTCTCTGGCTGCCGGAATTATTCGTCCTTCCTCTCCAGCCGCAGGAGCGGGGTTTTCTTCGTGGAGAAGAAGGACAAGATTGACTATCGGGGCCTGAACGACGTCACGGTGAAGAATCGTTACCCCCTGCCACTCATCTCGTCGGCGTTCGAGTTACTACAAGGGGCTACAATCTTCACTAAACTGGATTTACGGAACGCGTATCACAAATCCGAGAGGGGGGTGAATGGAAGACCGCCTCGGGACATCATGAATACCTGGTCATGCCATTTGGACTTACCAATGCCCCTGCTGTTTTCCAGGCGTTGGTGAACGGCGTACTCCAGGACATGTTGGATCGGCATGTCTTTGTTTATTTGGACGATATTTTGATCTTTTCGAAGAATCTCAAAGAACACATCCATCATATCTAGGCGGTTCTCCAGAGGCTTCTGGAGAACTCGCTGTTCATCAATTTCACACTTCCTCAGTCGCCTTTCTAGGCTGCATCATGTGTCAAGGGAGTGTGGAGATGGACCCCTCCAAGGTTGCAGCGGTCCCCTCGTGGCGGGTTCCTGATTTCCGGAAGGAGCTGCAGCGTTTCCTGAGGTTCGTGAACTTTTACAGACGGTTCACTCGTGGCTACAGCACCGTGGCCATCTTGCTCATCGCCCTGACATCGTCCAAGGTGACGTTTCGGTGGTCCCCTCAAGGGCCGGTTTACGTCGGCCCCTATCCTACGAGTACCAGACCCCGCCAGACAGTTGGTGGTGGAGGTGGGTTTTACCCAGTTTAGCTTTTGTCGCCCGGGCTCCCGCAATATGAAGACCGACGCCCTGCGGTTCGGGGGGAGGAGACACTCGCAGTATCCCGGACACTATTCTTCCTGCTCTTCGAGTGATCGCCGCCCTCGCTTGGGAGATTGACGAGAGGGTTAAAAACGCTCTGGTGGACCAGCCCGGTCCTAGTTCCTGTCCTCCCAACCGGTTGTGTGTACCTCAGGTCTTGAGGCCCGAGGTGCTTCAGTGGGCTCACAGTTCCAGACTTTCCTGCCACCCTGGGATTCAACGTACCTGAGGGGTGGTCCTGCAACGGTTCTGGTGGGCCACGCTGGAAGCTGACACCCGGGAGTTTGTGAACGCCTGTCCTGTGTGCAATCAGCACAAACCCTCTCACAAAGCGCCTGCTGGCCTCCTTCATCCGTTACCAGTCCCGTGTCGCCCCTGGTCACATATTTCCCTGGACTTTGTGACTGGTCTACCACCGTCCCACGGACATACTGCCATTTTGACGGTGGTAGACCGGTTTAGTAAGATGGCTCATTTCATACCCCTGCCTAAGATCCCGTCAGCTAAGGAGACGGCTGAGCGAATTCTTCTTCACGTTTCGCCTCCACGGAATGGCGACCGATGTGGTTTCCGACCGGGGCCTCAGTTCACTTCTTTGTTTTGGAGAGAGTTTTGTGAACTGATCAGGGCGACGGTCAGTCTCACTTACAGTTTCCACCCACAGGCCAACGGCCAGACCAAACTCCTGTGGGTGGAGTACGCCCACAACACCCTGATCAGTTCCGCCACCGGCCTTTCCCCTTTCCAGTGTGCCTACGAGTTTCAGCCCCCATTGTTCTCTACATTAGAGAGAGAGGTCACCTGTCATAAGACCTGGTAGCAGGCCTGTACGACCCTGCTTCAGTTTGCTAACCGGTACGCCGCGTCGGCGAACCGCCGCCGCACTTTCTCTGGTCTCCCATGTGTTGCACTTTGGTTCTCAGCTCATTCGTGACAGCAGTAAACTGATGCGATGCAAAGATGTGTTGAATCAAAATCGTCGTTTAGAGAAAGTAAACCCGGAGAATATTAACTTCCTGTTTGGTTTGACCGCCACAGCAAAGGCACTTCAAGAAAACTCCAGATTTTGATAACTTTTCATCCTCAAAGCCATCTCCTGATTTTTCCGTTTGGTCAGTTGTGTCAAAGCCTCTGCAAACATTAATTAATAACTATCTCGAAAAGTAGGAATCTAGGGGAAATATTGTCAACAATAACTGTGTGTGTAGTAGGGCTGAACGATTAATCGATTTTAAACCGAAATCGCGATTTGAAATGATGCGATTATCAAATCGCAAAGCCTGCGATTTTTTCAAAAACGTTTTCATTAAAAAAAAATGTTTTTCTTCTTGTGTGTCAGTCATCCACACCAATCAGAAGTGCTGTGCTCCACATGTACCAGCCATTGTTAACCAATCAGAAGTGGCCCATGATAGAAGGTGATAGACAGATTGATCCAATCACCTGCCAAGTATTTTTGAAAGTGCCTGCCCTTTGCAAATGGCTTCCAATGGAGCTTTCCTAGATGGTTTTAGATAGCTTATTTGCGCACATGCACGGAACGAATCGGGTTAATGATACGGATTGGTTAGTGGCGATGGGGTTACGGTGCTGCGCATGCAGGGATCCTGGAAGCACCCCGACCTTGCTTGTCTTGCGAAGGCCCGTCGATCGCTGCTTGCAGCTTTAATTTATATTGATGTCTCATTCTCTTTCACTGAACTCTTCCATGTTGTTCTTTATTTCACTTCATGTTTGTTTTCCAGTATCATCATTGTCATGTGAACTGCTTGATTACACAAACACACATTAACACACAAAAACAAAAAATGTCAGTTTTACATTTTATTGTTTCAGATAACATTGGTATGACCATGCTAACCATGCACAATGTCTACAGTAATCATTTAACTTAAACGTTAAGCAGACTGGGATGGGTATGAGCAAACTATAATACACTATGAAATGGTTGTATATCCTCTTTTGCTTTTCCCAAAATCAGTTCATGTGGTACAGCAATGTTCAAATGTGCAAAATATACAGCAAACACTAACTTTCGAATACTATAAGGAGCATACATATTTGGCTACTACAATTAGCATCTGTCGATCCAGACTATGTATGTTGGTACACAAGTCTCAATTTGACTTTATACGTGACATAATAATGTGCAATATGGCAGAAATGAAACATTTAAAACAAAGTTTCAAGTATTACAGGTAACATCATATGGTTTGCAAAAAAATAAAGTAACTAATAAGTTCCTTATACTGTAAGGCATCTCTACTGGAATAACATTTGGACACAGAAAATGAACTGCAATTAAGACATTTAATGCATTTCTCAAGAGAGAGACTACATAATATTTCCTACACAGGACAACACAATACAGCCTGATGGATTGAGAGAAACTTAAACGGCATCTTTATAGCTACAGGATACACATACAAGTGGATTGCTAAGCAATTATTCCTGCCCCAGTGCACTTCAGTCTTACACATCAACAGCCAAATATCCACTTGTTTTAAATCTAAACTTTATTTTTCTTATAGATAAAAGCGTCAATTAGTGTTGTGCCTTGGAAACCTTTTATATAGAAAGTCACACATACGGAAGCTTTTTAAATGACACGAAGCTTCTCAGGCATCACTATTTTCATTGTAAGAAATCTATTTCTTGAATGGAATCCCTGAAAATGAGGTGCCTTGTCTGGGAAATAAATTACTGCAATTTTGCAAAAGAGCCAAATAAAAATAATTCACTCTAGTCTGCAGCAAACATGTAGTATGTGGGCCATCATTTGATTGACGCCATGATTTTCTTAATGTGCAATAACATTCAATTGACAGCTTTGGAATCAACCTCCTCTCTCACATGCATTTAGAAAGTTCCAATTAAGGAATAAAAAGGATAATCAAATGAAAAATGATCAATCCTATGGCCAGACCTCGCTGATGAGGAAGAGTCACTGGAGTTTAGTTTACCAGATATATCCATTAACTTCCAGCCAAATCAATCTGACACATGCATGAATACATTACCTGGGAAGAATATTTTTGAAGTATTTCAATGAGGCTACCATGAAAATGAAATAATCATGCCTTCGCCATCAGCAACACACTTTAATGGCTTAAGGGGGCATTTAAGTCAGAGGAACAAATGCAGCCATCAATGCTCAGAGCAGGCTTTGCACTGGGACTGAACTGGGTCCCAGTGAATAATCTGTGCAGGGAAATTTAGAGTTATTATACGTTAGCAATAGTGTGTTTACCTAATGTCTACAATATTCAAAACCCTGATTTTTGCCTTTTTTTGTCCTCTTTTTTCACACATCAGACACACCTCTCCCGCTCATCTCACACACACACTTTTTCTCCTAAGAACAGTAGAATAAACCAAATCGTGGACACATAATTTCAATGGTCAGTTGCTATGCGATTAGAATATAGAATATATGTTTTCTTTATATTGAAAGTCATAGTTTACAGTTTCTGTTATGATGATCTCTATGGCTCTATTCCCATCAACGAAGTGATACAGGGACACACGTTTAAAAGATTAACAGACTACTTGATGCTAAGTTTATTTGAAGAAGGAGGCGACATCACAATGAGTTTTGAGTCAGACATGGGACTCACAACCCCCCCAATGAGGTTCTTGTTGCAGTCGCCCTTGTTGCCCTCAGAGCTCAGTTTGGAGCAGGTGACGCTGCCTGTCAGGTCCATCAGGTCTTCCAGAGCTCGGCTGTTACTCACACTGCTGTGCTGGATTTCATTGACTGGCGAGAAGTTTGTGATTGAAATCAGTTCCTCCTTAGCAGCTGGGCTGGAATATATTTTTAAAAAACAATGGTTTATGATATTTGTGGGGCAAGTCTGATATTGAAAAAACAGCCTTTTCTTGACTGCTGTGTATAGGTACAAACAATGCACTGCACTTTTCCTCTATTTTTTTGCAATGTATTTAAATAAATAAGCAAAACAAGAATGTACTATGAGTTAACCTATCAATATTCATTGTTATGTTTATTCTAAGTTTTAAAAAGAAAAAGAGAGGAGAGCAGAGCAAACACCACAAATGCCCAAAATAATGTACTTGTAAATATGTATATTATGGTGGTCTTTATATTACAATACATATTTCTTATAGTTGAAAGCATACTTATTCATCCCAAATCTCTGTCATGACAGAAGAACAAGAAAAGGTGAATAAAAAATAGCAAAGTGATACAAAACAGTATTGTGTCAACAAATAATGCTTTGGTAAGTTTTACATTTAAATATGTTATAGTGGCAGGGGGGCCGTGGGTGATGTGGTTAGCGATACTAACAATGCAAGAGGACCTCACCTGACCTCCATGGCCTGCACCTCATCAGAAGACCCCGTCCCCTTCACATTTAGAGGCTCCAGCCTGATGATTGGCGGCGACGGGTGTCCCACTGGCAGGGTCGCCACAGAGGGACTCATCATCTCCATCTGGGACCCTCCTCTAGCAGCAGTCACCACATGATGCAGGCTCCTCTGTTTGCTTACCTCAGCAGTTATATGGCTTCTCTTCAAGGCACTTCCTTCACTCTTAACTGCTCCATTCATCATACTACCCTCCCTTTGGTTGACTTTGGCATCTGCTGTCGGCTTTGTCTGCTCTTTGTTTATCTGCTCTTTAACATGTGCTCCCTGCTGCTTATTTACATTCATCACCACCTCTCTTCCCTGTTGCTTGAGGACACCGGCCTTGCCCTCTCTGTTAGTCGGGCTGCCGGGCTCTTCACTGGTGTGTCTGGTGTCCGGTCTCTTGTCAGTAACACTGCGTGATGCTGTCATTTGATGAGTGTTGTTTGTCATTTGCACACTCTTCTGATGGTCCATCTGTGCTGCTGGCGCTTCTTTCTTCACCGGGGTGCATTCCTTCATGTTGACTGAGACATGCTCTTTAACCTGAAACTCAACCTTTTTCACTGCCTGCTCATTCACCTGAGCTTTAGTTTGAACAGTCTTTACTTCACCTGTGGAGAGTGAAGAACAGCATAGTGGGCTTCACTTTACTTGGATTGTTCTCGTCACTCCAAGTGAACTATACTTACTTGATTATTTTCTAGCAGCAATACTGGATGTCACTATCAACAGTATAACTGGTCAAGTTGATACTAAACATTGACATTGGCTCCAATGAGCTGAGAACTTACACTTAACTTAAATACAGTTTGAGCTTGCATTGTGCACAGCTTTCCCTCAATAAATCTGCCAAGGGTGTTTTCAAGGGCAGCTAATTTTACATTCAACTCCCATGGCACTGATTTACAGTAAAAAGTGCCCTCTCAGCACCAAGAGGGAAGATCTTTTCTCCTGCTCCATTTTCCGGAAGAAAATGGCATAACATTCACAACATGTTTATTAAATGTATGACCCAATGAACAAAGCAATTACTTGGTTGATGAAGACAAGGAGGTTCATTCTTTAGAATTGCCAAAGCCAAAGCCACATTATTATCGCATAACAAGACGCTCAGATGAATGTGTACAAAATGTGTCCCCTATTGAGACTTTACACAAGCCAACGTTATGATTACTGCTGCACATGCACAAAATAAGCTTATAAAGGAATCTCATCATAAACCATGCATGGTCTATTTGCAATTTTTTTGCTGCAAGGAGTACAGAGAGCGGTGGAGTAAGCAGGGGCAGCAAGCAAACGTAAGTATCTGCATTGCGACTGAAAAGCACACTGACCTGGTGGGGAGACGGGCTTAGTCTCCACCTGCTCCTCCTTCTGATTCAATGCAGAACAGAGACGATCAAGTCAACGTTTGTGGTAATCAGGACACAAAACCAAAGTATCACGAACAATAGTATTTAATAAAGAAGATAACAACAGAAAGTCAGACTTTTAAAAATCACATGTAGGTGTTTAAAGGCAGCTACACTGTACGAGAACGGGCGGCTCTCTCACAGTACCTTCATTTCAGCTTCGGCCTTCCGAGTTCTCTTCATGATCTCTTCAATTCTCTGAAAAAATAAATATCAACATTACATTTGAAAACATTGCAAAGTTTAAAATATTTTAATTCTGCAATCGGTTTGTTTAAAATTACCTTTTTTCTTAGATTCCTCTCCTCCTCTTCTTGCTGCTTCTGCAGTTCTCTGTCTTGCAGCTGGCGCTCGGCTTCCTCCTTAGCCACGACTTGCTCTTTCTGTTAAGATAGGAGAACAATTCAGATAACATGCTAAAGAAATACAATTTTCACAGGAAACAACCAACAATCAGAACCCAATATGTACAGTAACAGGGCAAAAACATTGGCTTTATAATGACGTCTCACCTCTTTGTCCACCTGAGTCTGTAGCTCCTTGTCATGCTCCTCCTTCATTAGTCTGTCTTTTTCTTCTTTAAGCCTGTGAAGATCTTCTTCGATTTTACCCTTTTCCTTGACTTGTTGAGCCTTTGCCTCTTGCTGTTGCTTCTCCTGTGCGAATTGCTTTTTCAGCTGTTCTTGCCTGAGTCTGATTGGAAGGAGCAGACACTCATTACCTCCATTTAAAGACTTCAATCCAATTCCTTTTTAATTGATTTATCAATAGACTCACCGTTCTTCTTCCTCTTGTTCTCGCTTTTTCTCGTCCAGTTCTTTCTGAGCTCGAGCCTGACGCCTACGCTCTGCCAGCAACTTGGTGGCCTCCTCTGCATTTGTTGTGCCAGCTGCCACCTTCCCTGTAGAGGCGCACGGTGCTGATTCTTGAAAACACACAGAAAAAACTGGTGTTACATCAACAAAGTGTACTCTTACAACTGTAACGAAACACATACCCTTGTATACTCTAATAATACAATAACTTGTATTAAGTCTACCTTTTTTCTTATCTCCGTCCTGAGCGTTGCTGTGTGTCTTCTTCTCTGAGGAATCCACTTTAGGAGACGTGTGGTTATTGTCACTTTTGAGATGCATATCCGAAGATTCACCTTTAGGTGATCTGGATTTAGTGATTTCAACGTTGACCACATTCTTCTCATCTTGTGAAGAAGGAATTGTGCTGTTGTTGTCCGTATTCTTATTCACTGCTGAGGATTGTCCGTTGTGTTTCTCCACCTTCTTGTCTTCTGCTTTCCTATCATCAGGTGACCGGTTTTGACGATGCCTTGTAGGAGAGCAATGGTACTGATGTGCATTGCAGGGAGACTGGGCACGCATTTTCGAGGCCAGCCTGCACACAGATAAAGATTTTCCGTTAAAAGATGCCCTTTTATGCTCATTTTCAGGTAGCTTTTTGTATTTTGTGCTTCTACTGTGACTTGTTTACATGCTTTAATGTTCTCTCTGTTGTGATTGGTCAAAAGCTTAGAGATGTCCAGCCCCTTAGCAGACTATTTACATGCACACAAACATATATAACACACAACAGGAAGGGGGAAAAAAACTCAGAAGCATAGTAGGGCCCCTTAATGATTAAGTGTTAATGACAATAAAAACATTTAAATATAATGTGGTTCAAACAAGGTAGTGGTACCAGCTGACAGCCAGAGGTGGGAAGTAGTGGAGTACAAATACTTCGTTACTCTACTTAAGTACATTTTTCTGGTATCAGTACTTTACTCCACTACTTTTTACTTTTACTTCTTACATTTTTAACACAAATACCTGTACTTTCTACTTCTTACATTTTCCAAACAGATTCGTTACTTTAGTTTGAATCTGCGTTTGGTGGCGTGATCATTATTATTTAGAGTCATTGCGTGCCTATTGATTTGAACACGATCCGTGTATCCATCATTTCCTGATCTTCTCCAAAGAAGAGGGACCAATGAAAACGTTGTCATTTTGCCGTTGTTCAGCATGGAAACATTCACTAGCTAAAAATGACATTATTGTTCTATTAATATAAAGGGAGGTCAGTTACTCTTTAAAACAGTTGGTAGTTATGGGTACTTTTTACTTAAGTAAACTTCGAAGCCTACACTTCTTTACTTTTACTTGAGTAAAGAAGTTTAGTCAGTACTTCTACTTTTATATATTGTATTTTGAAACACGAGTATCTGTACTTCTACTCGAGTAAAGGATGTGTGTACTTTAGCCATCTCTGCTGACAGCCATGTTTGCACACCTTTCACCAAACAAATCTTACTTGGAGGTAGTAGGGGACGCCAAGTGCCTTGTGACACTTGCAGGGGATTCAGATCTTCTGAGAGGGGATCCACAGCCTGGGGATGCAGTTCTTCTCTCTCTGCGCAGCCGCTCTTTCTGCACAGAGTAGGGGGATTAAATACATAAGATCTTGCCGATTCTACCCAATTATGATATATAATGATATATATACAAATATGTACGAGGTCTGACCTTGGGGGTATTGGGGGTGGACTGCGATCCTCCTTGAAGTCCAGCTCTGTTGTGATCTGCAGGGTTCAGCGAGCCGCGGAAAGGGGACCGGTGAGGGCTGCAGGGCGCTGCGTGATGACAAACAGCATGCTTATCAAATCAAATGATGGCAAATCACAAGTGAAAAAGGGATGTTAATACAGTTGCCAGGGGAGGGTTTGACCAGACAGTGTGTGCAGCACCCAGCTCACAGACAATTTGTTCTGTTGCATTTGAAGCCACAAGGTATACATTTATCAGCGATATAGGCTTCCATTTTTAACTGAGTGATACATTTTTCTTCTCCTATTGAACTGTTGGTAATCAGCATTTTGGTAGAAAAACATGGAAGCTCAAATCTAATGGGGTATGTTAATGGAATTAATCCTGGGGTTGTATTCTATGCACTGGGATGAAAGCAGACACATACCAGCGCGGTGGCTACGAACACAGTCCCAATTCCCAACATTTCTGTCCTTGCCACACCAAAAAAAGCAAATGAAAACACACATGGACTTTGTGCAAACCCACAATCACAATAGCAGAGGCCCTACGTACAACATTAAGCAGTCTTCTTGCGATCATTTGGTCCATCTGTCACCATCTGTAAAGAGTAATCCCTAAAGGCTGCAGCGCTCTCAGTGGGATGACTGTTTCTATTTTATTTCTATTCTAGGTCATGTGCAATTAATCTCCAAAAACGTCAGCTCCACTTTTGAACCACTTAGCTGCCTTCATTTTTGAAGCGAGGGTAAAATGAAACAAATACTTTCATAGTTATCTACACACAGTACAAATAAAACCACAAGTGTTTAGGTTCACGTCATTCTGATCTTATGCCCTTTAGCCTGTTTTTAATTCCGTGTGACTAATCTGGGGAAACTAATCCAGAGGTTGACTTCAAGGGAAATTTGAAAGCGAACTATACAAACATGCTACTGAAACAAACATTTGAATATCAGACTAAATGTGGCAAATTAATGAAGGAAAAGACACACATTTTGTTAGTGTCCTCTTTTTTCTACATAGTGATCTGCTTGCTGCCAAACTGCAGAGTCTACAAGAGAGGGAGGAATGAAAGTTCCTCAAGAAAATTAGGAAGATGGAAATGTTCCAGCTTCAAATCTTCCTGAAAATAAGGTTAGATCATTATACGTTTTGGTTTAATGCCAGCAAAGGCCTCGGCACTGATTGCATCTGCCTAATAAATCGCATCCCTGAAGCCTGTCTCCACAGTTTTGCTTCCATCCCCACTTTAATTATGCTAAAAGTAACTGCAGCAGAAAGCACAAACACAGCAAACATACTAAAAGCGTAGAGAACATGCACATTACTTTGCATATCATGCCCCATTTGCAAGTTTTAACAACAGAGCAGCATGCATCACAGCAAGCAACAGTTTGACTTTGGTGCAAGTTCCAACTCACCAAAATGCAAACAAAAACAGTCATGGTAGGTGTTGCATGAATAGGAGGGGTGATACATATGGGAGGGCAAAGGGGGTCTTAACTTTACCAGATTCGCTGACAGCAGGAAGGGGGGAGGCAATGCCATGGGAAAAGGCGGAGACAGCAGAGAAAGGGAGTGGGGCATTGTCACTGTCACCTAAAGGCAGCGGGCGGAGCAGAGCAGAGCACAGCGTTATGAACAGTTTATCAATTCCTCGTCCAGCTGCAGAGACCCGGAGGGGAATTAACATACCAGCAGGCCGGGATGTTGTGATGTCATGTAACCACAACAGGCTTTTGATGGTGTGCTATGAAGCAATTACGTGTACGTTTTCTACATTTCCGACATTGTTAACTGCCCAAAAATGTCACTTAAGCACAGATTTATTGTTTTCACATTTACGTTATTAAGATTTGGCCGCACAAGGTTTTTAGTAGACCTATTTCTTTGTATTTAAATAATGTTGTTTTTTCATGTAGACCACTTTGTAATCTGTTGAAAGGTTTATTATTATTACATAGACACCAGTGCTGATATGTAACTCCATCCTGTCTCTGTGGGAAACCAGGAACACATTTTTTCTCATGCGTATTTAGGCAGCCAGGCTGTTGGCCAAGGTCGGGCCATGAAAAAAGGCTTTCTTTTACACACTCACACATGCATGCTAACACACACACACACACACACACACACACACACACACACACACACACACACACACACACACACACACACACACACACACACACACACACACACACACACACACACACACACACACACACACACACACACACACACACACACACACACACACACACACACACACACACACACACACACACACACACACACACACACCACACACACACACACACACACACACACACACACACACACACACACACACACACACACACACACACACACACACACACTGAAACCTACAGGGCACACACACACACATATTATGTCATGGTGTCTACAGCTAAATGCAATGCTTCTGGTAAAAGCAAAACTTGTGTCTAAATTTAAGATCCTTCATGCCTTGCATTCATGCCTCTTGTATCCAAAACTCTAATCTGTGTTCTTACCGCCTCCTGCGTGGCAGCCTCTGCTCCAGCGTTTGGTCCTCTGCTCCAGCTGAAGGCTTCTCTCCAGAGAGCGCCTCATCAGGGCCTCCAGGCGCTCCTGAACGCAACACAGCAGAGACCATTTTTATGTAACTACTGTCACCTCACCACTTGCTTTGTTTCATTGGCATTTTTACACACCACCAGGGAAAAGTCACATGAATGGACTTTTTTTTTGTATCTTGCGGCAACCACACGTGAAATAGAGTGCATTAGACAGATCATGATTATATGTTTTTTTGTTTTATCAGCTGACCCTGTCCTCTTCAAGCTGATGCCTCCTCTTCTCCTCCACTGCAGCTCTGCGGAGCTCCTCTCTCTGCCGCTGCTCCTCCAGCCGCCTCCAGCGCTCCTCCACTGTGCGTTCGTACTGCAGGCGAGCTCTGCACTCCTTCTCCCTGATCAGCTGCTCCCGGGCCACTGAAAGAGACAAGACAAGGTTTCATGAAAAATAAAAAATAAAAAAAAGAAGCTAATGGACCGATGTTATCTGAGTAAGAATTAAAAGTCAACTCAAACTCAAAAATGCATTTCAATCTCTTTTCAAAATATCTCTTTAAGACATATATTTTTTACTTGTGAATAAACACTCAAAATCTTTCAGTGTTACCTGAAGTTCTATGTAGTTTAGTGTATTTTTATATATGAATCCACAGAAAAGACTATCATGAAGATAGAAATCCTTGTCTTCATGAGACAACTGCAGGAGCTGCATGACCTATTTCTGTGGACTACTCTGTTACTATCTCATTGTCTCAAGTGACATAGTTCATCATATCAGAACTCCAGTGAACTTAACTTCCACTGGCCATTGAAGGTCTTCCATAACCAATTAAACTGTTGAGAGAAAAACTGCATGAGAAAAAACTTTGCAGGGAAAGTGCACTGACAAATAATCCCAGCAGTGGCAGGAACTTCAGAGCTCATCAGTTCACAAAAATCTGATCCTTAATTCATACTTGTGTCAAAAATAAAAGGACATCACCTACCCAGGCTTTTCTCCCTCTCCTCCCGTCTCTCTTTGGCTAATCGCATCCTGTCGTCCGTCTTCATATAACCCTCCGCAACTGAAAGAGGAATAAAAATGTCAGGAAACAAAAAGTAGGCATTGGAAAGGGAGATAACTTGCTTTTGAACAGATGCAAACATAGACTTACTTTGTTTACCTGCATGGTTATTAGCTGTTAAGTGTGAAGGGGACGCGTGTCCATTTATTTGCGGCTTCTTCTCTGTGCTCGATGGAGCTGTGATGACAGAAGGAGATAAAGCACACTCAGCTTTGTCTAAAGAGGAATTACATCAGCACCTGAGTACTGAACTGCAGTGCTGCTCTAACACCAGCAGAGGGAAACATGTCTGCAGCTCTGTGAGGGGCTGCTCTGTGGTAAATGCATTGTATAGCAAAATGCCAAGCAGACCCATGCCAAGGGCAAACTGCAGCAATACGCAGGAGAGAGGGGGAAACCGTCCTTGGCGTGATAGTCCCTCCACACATGCTGAATGCCTCTTCTGATTAGGTTGCTGCTGTGACTGCTGATAACAGAGCAGCCCTGAAACACAAGTCCCTGGGCCTGCAGAGTCTTATCACGCATTCTATAATGTGTCTCTAGTCATTGTGCAATTATCCAAATAATTGTGTGGTCACTTGGAAAAAAGGGTGCATCATGTGATAGGAACACTCACTAGTCTTTCCAGTTCGGGCCGAAGAGCTGTGACCATTTGTTGGAGATCTCTTCTCAGGGAGCAGAGTGATGGACGGCGGTGCCATCTTTTCACCTGAAGCACAAAACAAATAAAAGATTACACGGAGCACTGATCTTAAGAGAAAGCTGCTATTCTCACATCAATATCACATTATAAGTCTGATAAAAAAAATGTTATTAGATAAATCTATACTCTAAAGATTAGATATTGAGTTTATTAATATTGAAATCTGATCTTGGACGTGTCTCTTAATCGCCATGTAAATAGAGAGGTAAAAAAAAAAGTTGAATCCACAAATTCCCTGGATCAATATGTGCCGTGTCAGCTAAACTGCCATCAAAAACAGTTACTTCACTTGATGAGGTGAATTCCTCTCTTTTATTGAGTGTACTGAAAGCTGGCAGAAACTCTCATGATGTCAGACAGGAGAGCTGCCAAGCATTAATGCTTTACCAACCTAACTTAACATATACATTCATCATGGATAACTGGTCAAATGTATCCTGTTTCCTAACATTATTATTTATTCAGTGGCCACAATCTAATGTACTGGTTGTTTTTAGTGTAGCTTATTCTTATGGTTTTGTGGTGAATACTGCTCATACTCTATGGCCTGTCATAGCTGTTTTATAAAAATACAAGCTACAGAAACAACATTATGTGTACAACATGCTGCCTTAGGCATGACAGTGAAACAAACAAACATAAAGTGCCTCCAGTGGTCTGTCACTTTGCACTTTCTCATTGAAATAGTAAGTCAATGAGACAGTGGAAAGTATTTTCTGGAACAAAACTCATGCAATTATGTGAAATTCAAATCCACTTATTCCAGAGGGCAAAACAAATACAATGTGAGGTAATGACCCATGTCAAAGGCATCCCAAAATAGTTTGATGCTCATAATAAATGATGGGGTCTGTCTGGGTCATAGGCAATAACCACTCATCCTTTCTCCACCCGTTTGAACCCTTTTATCTGATTAAGTCGCGTCATCACCAAAAATGGCTACACCATTTTTTGGGATCAGAATTAAAAACAATGACTGCAAACTGGTGCGCACAAGAGGCTAATCCTGTTTTGTTGACGTTCACTCGTGATTTAAACAAAAAAAACATTTAGCCCGTGATTTAGGTTTATTTACTTGGAAAAGTGTAAATCTTTTAGATCTTCTTCCGTCGAAAAGGGTTAGAGAGCCTTAGCGAATAAACAAAACATTGAAGCCGGTCTGCACAGCCAGCATCATTCTCGTAAAGCGGTGGAAATGTCAATTGCGTCATTCATGAGTCTGCTTTAAATCGCGTCGCAAACACAAGAATAGAGCCCGATAGCATGATGATACCAAACCAAGCAAACATTCAGCTTACCTGTTATTGCACTGGAAGATGTGACTGTTTTCGCCATGGTGTCACAGGCACAATGCAGCCAAATGTATGGACCTGATGTCCCCCCAAACACTCTGCAGTGAAGCCAATGCAGCACAGGTATCCGTTTCCCTGCAAGGCTGCAGCAACAAGAGCAGCCACTGTGTACACAACCAAGCACACACCATTCAAATGGATGGCCTGAAGGTCATTGTGAAGCCTGGAGAAAATGTCCAGGACAAGAGACTGTTGTGCGGATGGATGGAGAAGAGGAGATGATGATGCGCACACAATCGAGTCGACTACCCAGCGATCACACCGTGCGTCGCAGCGTAAGCCCGCCCTGATCAGCACAGCCTGCCGGTAGATGGGGGAGATTTCCTCTTCCTCTCTGCACGCAGCTCAAACCTCGACCAAACCGAATGAAGCTTCATTAATGCAATGTTGTTTGGCCTGTTTGCCTGAATTAAATATTGTCGTTTTGTTTTATTTTCTTGTCAGAGAGTAGCAGAATGTTAAAAGGAAATAAAAAGGCACTTCTAACATCTCCGAACACTTTCCCTGGTACATGAATAACACCTGTTTAAGGTATAATGGATTTTGCATCAAGGATTTTTTTATTGCATTTGCTTAATTTTAGTCAATATCCTTAGTTTAGACCATTTAAGGGGGGGGGGGGGTTCGAATCCAAGTCTCACTGAGATCTAGACATGATCTGCCTGCATGAACCACTGAGCTATATATAGCAGCTTGAGTACTGATTTTAAATGTGTATTATTCTTTCTTAAAGCAGCAAACAGAAATAATTGTCCCCATTGACAAAATGTTCATGTTATTTTAATTAAATATTTTTTTCAAGTTTTATATAAAAATGTTTTGAAAAGTAATGTTTTTAATTCTTATTTTATGAGTTTTTTGTTTGTTTTAGAAAACATTTGTTGTCATATTAAATATCTATATTTTTTTTTTCCAAGTTAGATTTTACTATGTTTTATATATCATTTTATTATTTTATTTTTTGACAGTTGGCTATGGCTGAGAGGAAGAGCTGTTGTCTTTGATTCAGAAGGGTGGGTTCATTCCCAGCTGTGCAGTTATTATGTTGATTTATCCTAATGTGTATTGTGATGCTTGTTAAATCTGTGCGTGATCTCACTGCTATAGTGGAGAAGAGCTTCAAATCAAAGGTCTCAAACCTGTTAGAAATCCCATCCCTTACTCTCCTGTTACTGAGTTTTAGGTAATAGCAAAACCTTTATTCTCACCTTAAATGTTTTTATTTATACATTTATTTATTTCCATATTTATATATTTTTCTTGTGTTTTATTTATTCCTGTATTTATTCCCACATCTAATTATTTATTTATTTTTTACATTCATTTATTCTTTAATTTGGTTATTCCTGTATTTATTCCTGTATTAATGCATTTATTTATTTTTTACTTATGTCATATTCGGTCCTCCATACCTGTGTGCTCATTGTGTGCATAAAGATACAAATTCACTCAAAATCACATCACAGCAAGACCTATAGTTGGGCGTTCATTGTTTTAAAAACACATTGGTGGTAAGATAAGATAAGATAATACTTTATTGATTCCAATTTGGGAAATGTTTGTCTTGCAGCAGCATAAAAATGGCATTGTACAAATGACATTGTACAATACAAATTAAAAAGACTAGAAATAATCAAGAACGTAGAAATATACATGTTGAATTTACAAATGAACAATAACAAAATATAAAGCAAGTTATTATAAGTATGTGAGGGATGGAATATTCAATATTAACCCTCCTATTGTCTTCGTCCCCCCCCCCCCCTTACTTTGGTGTTTGCGGTCAAATTTGACCGGTCCTGTTTTAACTGCTATTACATTAACACAAAAACCATTAATCATCACCAAATTTCATTTAACACCCTTTCAAACTGTAGATATTGTATCAGACTACTGGTATACATGAAAAACTGCAGTAAATATACAAAGAATAGACACTGAACATGTATTGCCTGTGTCAGGTGTGATCCATGTTGGGGGATGGGCACATAACATAAGAGCGGGAAATGTGTCAAATTGTTCTCTGTGTGTGTGTGTGTGTGTGTGTGTGTGTGTGTGTGTGTGTGTGTGTGTGTGTGTGTGTGTGTGTGTGTGTGTGTGTGTGTGTGTGTGTGTGTGTGTGTGTGTGTGTGTGTGTGTGTGTGCCAGGTGTGATTCACATGGGGGGATTGGGCACATAAGGGGGGGGGGGGGCACATCTATGTGTGTGTGTGGGTGGGTGTTTGTGTGTGTTTTATCTGATCCGGATGGTTACTAATTCCTTTTCTTTATGGCGTCATTCTGACCGGGAACACCATGGGTGTTACAAAGTTGACTAAATCATCCAAAATTCAATGAAAGTGGTGATCAGCAATTTGATATGTTCAAATGTCTACTGTGAAGGATATCATAAAGCCTTAATGCAATCGAATCTAAAACAAAAAAGTTGTGATTGATGAAAGTAGTAAATAGGTCAGATTTGACCCGAAGACAACAGGAGGGTTAAACTGAATATATAAATGTAAAACGTACAGTGTGATTTATTTTCAGTAGGTCCAGAGATCTATGCATTGGTTTTTCATGCACAAGGAGTGCAAGTTCACTATTTTTATGTTACCCGAACTGCAAATATAGATTTTCCCTAAAAAAAAACTGTACACTACTACACCCATGTTTGACAGTGGTGGCAGCAGAGTGTGTTTCTGCCGGTATTGAGACCAGAGAAGAAGAAGAGCGAGCGGAGCCGGAAGAACAGTCTGACAGAAGGACGTAGCCGTGCTGTGTTTAGCTCAGAAAGATGCTGACCAATATCTCTAATGTGCTGAGGGCCTGCGCTCAGAGGAATGTAAGTACAGTAATGTTGTAGTATGAATGTTCTTAGTCAAGCTCGTCATGACAGTCGCCCCCTAAAACCTCAAAATTTGACCCAAAACCAGACTGTCATCGCTGTGCTGACCTTGTGAGGCCGAGCGATAGCTTGTTTGGCTAACACAGCTACAGCCTGCACAGAACACTCTTTACTATAGCTTAGTGATTTTATCAGTGTTCCTTATCATTTAAGATATCCTACTTTGTTTTTTTCTAATTATGGAGACAGGTTTTTATTACAATGAGTCTAAAAATTCACACCAAGTAACGGTATTAATAAGTTTCTTACAACTAAGCTGTCCAATCAAGTGGAAGAAAAACAAAGCTTACCTTAGGTTGCATTGAATTTTATAGCTCTGGTATTATATTTACATTCTCTTTTCTTTGTTTTGCTGCTCAAACATATTGAGACCATTTTTCTAAAGAATGTTAATTGTTATCATTTTGGAAAGATCCCTTCCTAAAACAATTTATCTTGTCCCTTACTTATTATTATTACAATATTGTTCTGTTATAGATAACCAGTAAGACAGAAAAACTGCCTGCTTATTTTTTGTATAAAAACATGCTTTTATTCTTTCAGTATGGAAACAGTAACACGTAACATGCAGTAGCTCAAGCATGGTATTGTTATATTGTTGAAGATGTTTAATCCTCAGTAGATTTGTATTCCTAAAGAAAGATGTTCTTCTGTCCCACGGCAGGGATCTGTAGCGCTCGTGTCAGCACGAACATATGCTGACTTCACAACTGAGGCTTCCTTTGAAATAAAGGTAAGCTTAAAACACAACTTTTTTGTCAATTCATAAATTCACATGGCAGTTTGTGCATTATTATTGACGTTTTCTTTCCTCTAGAAATGTGACATCCACAAGTTTGAGGAGGCCCCGGCCACTGAGGTGGTGATGACCCGCGATGAGGGTCTGAAATACTACCGCGTGATGCAGACCATCAGGCGTATGGAGCTGAAAGCAGATCAGCTGTACAAGCAGAAGATCATCAGAGGATTCTGCCACTTGTCTGATGGCCAGGTTGAGTGCACTTTATATTTTTTTATAAAGTATACATTAAAAAATACATATAGAGTTTCCCTTCGATGCTGCTGGTGTGAGAAAGAATGTTAAATGGCATTGATATTAAATATTATTATAAACCTAGCACATATTTTTAAACTGTAAAACAAGTTTTTAAAACCTATTTAAAGGTCACCTATTATGCAAAATCCAGTTTGTATACATCAACATGTGTCCCCTCTGCATTAAGAGATTCTGAAAGTTTCAGGAAAAAAGATTCTCTCTCTTTTTGTCCTGATCCATTTATATAAAAACCTGTCTGAAAATGAGCTGATCAGATTTAGGCCACTTTATGATGTCATAACGATTTTTTGGCTTGTGTAACCATTAGCCAATCACCAACCAAGGTAACAACCCCCCCACCGTATCACCTGAATCTCCTCCTAGAGCACCATTGTGTTCTTTTTAACCAAATATCTCTCAGAGGGGCGTGGGGAGGGGCTCCTTATTTTCATCTGAAGTAACAGACAGAGAATCAGCACTTTTGAAACAGGGCTGAAACAAAGGGGTTTATGGGATGCTGCAATGATCTGTTTGGTATTTCGAGCCAAACATTTCAGAGACATGTTTTGTGTATATCTGAGACCTATAATATATGGATGAAAAACGGTATAATAGGGGACCTTTAAACTGTAAAACAAAGTTTTTAAAACCTATTTAAGATAACACGTATACCATCATACATCATGTCAAGCTGTTTTTCTTTTTATAGGAGGCCTGTGCAGTTGGTATTGAAGCAGGAATCAATTTGTCAGACCATCTGATCACTGCGTACCGCGCTCACGGCTACACTTACACCAGGGGAGGGACTGTGAAGCAGATCATGTCAGAGCTCACCGGTGAGGCTGCAAATCTGACTCACTGAGACGTTATTAGTCACATGATTGTTTTGCTATTTTGTGATTGATTTGAAGATGCACATAGGTCTTGTTTTTCACTCACTTCTACTTTTATATCCTTAAATATTTTTGTTTTTCAATTTCCAGGCAGAAAAGGAGGTATTGCAAAGGGCAAAGGAGGCTCCATGCACATGTACACTAAAAACTTCTATGGAGGAAATGGAATTGTCGGAGCTCAGGTATATCACAGAAGTCTTTTTCAGTGAATCTATTATTGTTTATTTTTGTCACATTCTCTCGAGCTTGAGTCACCAACTAGCATGCTGTATGTTTGAACATACCCACCAAGTGCTTTAGACATTAATAACGTATATTTATCTCCTCAGGTTCCTCTCGGTGCTGGTGTGGCTCTGGCCTGCCAGTATCTGGA